GGAAGGCGTTAGAGGAGTATAGGAAGGCGTTGGTGCAGGCGCAGCAGGTTCAGGGTCAGGATGGTACAGCCACGCCAGCAGCCGGGGGAGGGGGATAGATGGCATTTAGATGGCCATATCTTTTTTGTTTATCTCTGGTTTCTGTACTTTAAAAAGGAGTATCTAGTTTTCTACTAAGAGCATGGTATCGGAAGCTGAAGCGGGTTGAGCGGCAGCGAAATGGAACGGTAACTATATTTTCTTCGCGTCACTTCTCTTATATTCTGTATTATTTTGTATTTTACTGGTGGATATGTGGAAGGTGTAAAGCTTGCTTGATTGAAGAGGTTGCTAGCTCAGGAAGCAGAAAACTTGACCTCGCTAAGTGCGCCACTTGACCTCGTTATGTAAGCTGACCTCGCAAATGTGGCCCGTTGCCACTACCTGACCTCGCTCAATACATCTTTTCTTGTTAATTTGAAACTACTCAATTATTTACTATCAATTCTATAATCAATTCTTAATTGATTGTAAAACAATTTTTAATTGATTATAGAATAATTCTTCTCTTATTATAACTTTTATACTCCGTATCTATTATATCTAATTTCATACAAAAGATAGAGCTATTTATAGTAAAATAAATGTGCAAGCTAAGAGAGCTAGTATTAGTAAGTATTAGATGAGTTTTGTAGTAAGCTCATGATAAGAAAAATAGTAGTAATATGATGTTAATAGCGTTTATAGCGTATGACGGTATGACCTCTTATTTTCTGCCAACATTTCATTAAAAATATTTAAATGCTCTGATTTATACAGCTCAGATCAATCTTCAAATCTTCATTCTTTTTTTCATTCTGCTCTTTTCATACATTCTCTACAGTATTTACATTTCTTATACTTTTCTCTATATTCATTTTTGATCTCTGTGTTCATAGCATGCACTGCTAAATTCTCTGTAACATGATCTCATGTGATGTCATGTGCACTTCTTTGAATTCAGATGAGATTGAACAGCTGGCTCTGCAGTTTGTATACCTCTGATTAATCTGATAATGATGATAGAGGTGATACGGGGTGGAAGAGAGTGATAGGGGGAGAGGGTGATAGAGGCAGTAGAGGGGGTAGA